CAATTGTGGAAAAGGAGGTTACGCGAGTGTCCATGGTGGTACCGCAGCCAGTCGGAAATCTCCTCCGGCGCCGCTAATAAATTTGTCAGTGTGCCTCTTGATTTTTTGCAACCGATTAATCACGAGAAAATTATTTCTAAAAATTCCTTTTACGGCATTTTATTCAAAGGTTACAACACAAACTCAAACAAGTAAGTAAATAGTTTAACTACTAATCTGTTGAAAATGTTGGGCATTTTGGGGGGATGCTACGGCTTTTTTGTAAATGGATGGCCGAAGAAGTCCAGAGGTTGCAGATTTGCACTTCGAAGAGGCTCTAGGTGACGCAGAGATGGCGAATTAACACATGCACATTAGCGGCGAACAACATTGGTAGAGCACTTAGGGCTTCAGTATAGCCCAGATTGATCTGACTGTAGTATGTCGTCGATCCAATGGGGCTCTAGAGGCGAGTTAACGGTGAAAAAAAATGTTAAAAGTTAATTAACGTCAAAGTGACACTGCCAAAGTCAAAGCAATCATAGATTAGGCATTTCATTTTAAATTTAGATAATATCAAGTGGTACAGGGTATTAGTATTTTGGGTTGCGTAAAAATAATTTTCAGAAGTAATTCTCTCGTGACTAACCCTGTATCACAGCATAGATAACAATCAGTAGGGACAGCTCGTGTCGGCGCCTTTGTTCTTTCTGACCCGAATTTTAAGCCGTCATGGATGGTCGTTGCCTAAACTATTCCTAGATGTCGCCACCCAATTTAAAAAGTATCACTTCATTTAATATTTCAAAAAAATATTACAAAAAAAAATACATATTTGTCGACTCGCATAAAGTGCAGGTAATTGGTATGGGTCGACGCAGGTAAGAATAATTAAGGAATTCATGAAACCGGAAGTCCATAGGGATTAAGCGAAAAAAGATATTTGACAAAATGTACGGCTTGGGTCATTTTTACCCACGCGCGACTGCTTATGGGTTAAGCAACGTCTCAAAATAAAACTCAAGATTGTGTAGGTCAAAAAAAAAAATATATATACATGATGAATAAAAAAATTGTTTATTGAGTGAAGGTCTGCTTATATAATTTTTTGTTACGTGTAGTTTGTTTCTTATTACTTTTATATTAAATTTTACCACAACAACGGAATCATATATAATAAATTTTTTATATTTATTTCATAACCACCGTTGTTGTTCGTTTGCGACGACTTTTTAAACAAAAAGTGTGTTATGTTTACTATCTTTTCCAAGAATTCCAAACACGAGGGAGAGAATAAGGCAGGCGCACAACAAGGATCCTGTATGAAAATTCATCGGACGAAGATTTTACCTTTTATTGTGAAAATTACATTTTTATACTATTTGTACAATTCTACTGGAAAAGCAGTCTTAAACAAGCAAAACCGGCAAAAATATTGTAACAAAACTGCCAAATTTCAAATATTTTAGACGTCAGTTGGGCGCCCTCATTCGGTCATAAAGCGAACGACCACCAACGAAAACGGGTCACGAAAAACGGCGAGCCGTCCCTACTGATTGTTATCTATGCTGTGCCTGTATTTTTCAATTATGCAATAAAATACACGTGTGAAATGTTGGTTGCATACTAACATAAATTGTTTATCAATTCGTGGCCGGTTAATGCAAGTTGTGAACAATTTTGTTTAAAAGGTGAAAACAAAGTTAAATAAACAATTGGAAATGATGTCCATTCTCACATAAATTGACACGTCCTTTTGAGTTCTTCATCATATGTAAATGTTGCACGAAAGTAATTAGGATATTATTGTTTGGATACCATGTACTGTTACAATTTTCTCAAAGAATATGAGTCCAATGATCCCTCTCACTGCACACAATACACCAATTTTAATAGAATGGAGTGGTGTACAAAAGACATGTGGATATTCAGCACTCATACATCTCATATTTTGCTAACCTTCAACTGTAATTCAAATTGACACAAGCTCGGTTCATGAGAGATGAAACCAACCTTCACCGAAGAAGAATGTTAAGTCCAGCAAGTTATCATCAGCCGGAAAAAGTTCATGGTAGGCATCGAATTTATTCGTAAAAAGGAGATTTTTTTCAAAATTTTATGACATGAATCCAAGGACAATTCAAATTCTTGCGAGAGATGCCTTAACCAAGTTAATGGGTTATTTTTCAAGTATTATTCAACATCTTCTACGATTCATTGATACACAATGTTGGTCATCCAGCACATTTTTTGTGGTGAACACTTCCGGTTTCACAAAATACTCGCACAGTGTTTCAAACAACGCTGTAAAAATCATAAACGAGAAACTTAATGTCTGAAAATGTTTGCTCGGACTTGCTTATAAAATAGTATCACTGTAGTCTTTCCCTCATTTGCAACTCCATTTCGGAAGTACGATACAATCATAAATGTTTTACATTCCACAGAGAAAACCATTTTGTCCTTGTGTTTTTAAAAAATTTGAAAGTTTGACATTTCAAATACCAGCGCGGCTCACTCATCAAAGACAATAGAAATCTGTCAATTTAGCCTCCACAGCCATTTTTGATCTGAATAATTAATGAACGCACGGTATAATATACTGACGGACTATATGTATAAACGTTAGAAGTATTCCACGTTTTAAGTTATTACCTTAGATCATATAATAAATAGATACCGATACTCAAACTGAAAGCTGTGACTAGACATGAAGCTATCTGTTGTCGTTTTCTACGTCAAGGAGAGTAGTATAATGCTATCCTTGTGTGATCACCACATCTTCATCTTTGTTATATGCATTTCATCTGTATATGTCTATTTCACTTCCATCCTTGTACCGCACCAGCGCAACAAATCGCTTTTGACAGATGTTTCTTCTAACCTCTCTTTCGAGTTGTTGTACAAAAAACAACTTTAGAATTTAGAACAAAGATCCTATTTTAAGTGATGTAGTCATAAAGGATCACAATTTCTGCCCAATAATTTACTATTCCTTTCGTTATCTACTGTGAATTATTTATAAAATCAAGCTGTCAACATCTTTCTTGCGAAGTTAGTTCAGACATACTTCCTAAAATTTAGGCGCGCAAAATTCAAATAGTGATCAGGCAAGGATAGCTTCATTGTAATCCCTCCATGCACGAGAGAGATGTGTGACAGGAGGATGTCGTCACAGGCTGTCCTAGGGAAAGAACATGGCGTGGTGGTATCTATTTATTATATGATCTAAGGTTAATACGTAAATTTGGTTAGTTAATCTAGGTATTACGTAGTATTGTAGTTTGTAGTCATAGTTATTTACTATTATTTATTATTATTAATTTGTGAAATTGATTAAACAATGAGTGAAGGTACTCAAGCTCCTGTCTGAAATTTTTAAAATAACGTCTAAATAAGTAACGTCCATTTCAAATAATAACGTAGGTACTCCATTTTAATCGTAAATTGTTACTATTCATTTTAAGCTGGATATTTTCCTTGTTAAGTTGTTATGTTACTTGACTGTGGCAGTTTATAAATTTAACCTCATTTTTCCGTTCCTGATGAAGAGAAAATAAAGCAGATTCTCGAAAGCTTGAACCGAAAAAAGAGTTTCTCTTTTTACCTCGACTGCGTTTCCGAAAAACGGAATTTTAGTCTATGCATACATATATGCAGCCCAATTGTGGCCCACACAAAATAAAATCCCTAGCTACATTCCTATACGATATGCACGTTGCCCCTCCATTTAATGGTGAAGTTTATACATCCATAAAACCGTGCTTCTCTCGTGTTGTGTGTTGTATTAAATCACTTGGTCTAATTTCTCTTTATAACAATTCCTGGTATGGCTGTACGGCCTGCTCGTACCAACTTCCGGTTGTTGTCTCTCATTTCAAATTGTTCTTTAGTGTTTTAGTAACTGGTCGGCAGCAAGATATTTCCTTTATCATCACGAAACCAAACATTTTTGCTGAAATATTTTCATATTTGTTTACCTATTTTCTCTTCACGTTATGTATGAAACGATATGAGTAAATTAGAAAATGAATGCACCGTCGTATAGTCATTAACAATAATTAAAATAGGATCATCGTCTCGTATTTGGAAATATGAGCAGTGGTTCCCCTCACTACATAATAATTACTCACCAGCTGTTTTAGTCAGCATGTTATAGTGCGTCAATTCAACCCTATAATCTATAATGCTGGCTAAAGTCGAAGACTAATGTTGAAATCAGCGTCGTTTTACAACCCAGCAGTGTAAAGTTTTAAACGTTTATCCTCTGATATCTGTCAAAAGTTGTAAGGAAGAAATATTAATATTTACACATTCTCAGATATCGCAGAATGTAGTACATCTGCCGTAAATTTTGAATTCCCAATTTTGATAACTTTAATATGTACGAATTCCTTCAGTGAAAAATTGTTCACATTTCGTCATTAAAACTAAATAAGATGACATTTTAAATTTTTTAACGGCAAATAAGTTCGGCTAAAAGTGTAAACTGTGCCCAATAAACCTTTTTATGTGTCTGAAATGTGTCAAAAACAATCATTCAGAAACATGAAACGTTTCTCACAGAGCCTGGACACATTTCTGGAACATCCCGGCAACCAAAAATGTCCTACCCTTATTATGTTTCATTTGGAACGTTTCATGTGAAACCTCTTTGAAACATTTCATGTGAAACGCTTTTAAAACAGCTTTGAAACATCTTGTATAAAACATCTTTTTAGGTATCAAGAATGTTTCACCAACAAATTAATACCTGTGTATTTTTAATAGCTATGCTATAATTTAATACTAGACATATATACATATGTGTATGTGGATTATATTATCATATATACTTACCTACTGAAATTTGGTTTGGGGTTCGAAATACGGGCTTCTTTTATCACGACCTCAACAAAATATTATTTTTTAATATCTTTTAGTAGAATTCATTAAATCCACAAACATACATAAATAACTAAATAAAAAATTCTTTTAATAAATAAAATAAACACTGAATAATACTACTCAATTTTTTGGAATATGTATTTATTACATATATGATATGGTAATTTTAAACAAAAGTAACTTACAAAGTGCACAGTTAAAATAAAACAAAATACAAAAAATATAAAAAAATACTGACAGGAAGTTAAAGTTATACATACAACTATTTCTCAAGTTTTCTCGTGAAGCGAAGATTTGCTTGTCTCAGCCATGTAGAAACAGTTAATTCAAATATTTTGTCGGTTAATAACGGAAAATTTTTTCGAACTGCATCTAAAATGTACTTTAAATCAATAAAAATAATAAACACATACATATTATTACTTTTTAGTACATCCATAATGATCAAGTTAGACACTTGAAAATTATTTTTTCTACCCAGCCAAGAGCATTTACGAGCCAATTTATCATCAAATATGCGGCGCAAACCCCTTTTTATATTTTCTTTAGTGGAGTTGCCTCCACATAAGCGGAAAATGTTGTCCTAATTATTTGATTTAAATTTTAAATATATACGTATGAACACATTAGATATTGCATATTTACCAGTTCTTTTCTGGCGTCCTCGCCAGATTTTAATCTTTCTTCGTATTCACATAACAGCCGGTACTTTGTAAAAGGTTGTATACATGTATTACTAATACTGTCAGTATTATGTAATGGGGTATGTGTAGGATCATTACTAATTTTTTGTAATAATCTTTTCACCATAATTTCTACCCGAGTGGTTTTTCTTATAATTTCATTTAGTTTGTCTACAATTTGATCTACAAATATAATAGCTATGTGTAATTTTCAGTTTCAATTTTATTTAAACTTACCATCAACATTACATGGTTCAGTAATGATTAAGGAGTCTTGTGGAGAAGTATTAACTTCTGAACCTAACGATACTACAAAATTAAAAACTTAAAGTACGACGTTTTGATATTGTAATCTACGTACAGGTCGCAGGTGAATCATTATTATTACGTTCCAAGCTTCTTACTGATACTAAAACAGAACAACAAATATATAAATGAACGATTAGATGTACAAGGCCGGCGAATAAATTTCGGACTTCAAATTTACTGTCACGTCAAAATTTGCATGTAGTTAAATTAGACTCATGACAATGAAATGACATTAGTGTCCGAAATTTATTGATTGGCACCGTACTCTATTAGTCATCTATCGTACAAGTATCACCAGAAGTAGTGGCAATGTCACCATAGGATTTGGCAGATACTAAAATCATGAAACATAAAAAATTACACAACACACTTCGTTTTTAACATACAAATATCATTTAGGGATCGTGAAGGCACTGTCGTAGCTGGCGAAGGTGGTGCTGAAACACAAACGGTTTTTTCCACACAATATAAAAATTAAAGCGACATACTTAAACTTTATGTACTATTTTACCTTTAATAATTTTTGGCGGAGGTGGAATTTGATCATCTTCCTCTTCTTCTAGTACATCAGTTATAAAATCCTTAAGACAAATTGCCTTTCGTTTGCGTTTCTTGGAACGAACTTCTTCTCCCTCTGACTCAGTTACCTTTTCATTTTTTTTCTCAAAGGAAATAGCTTCCTTATATGATACTATAATTAAAATGTTAAAAACAGTACGTAACAACGCGAAAAAATATGCATACCGCTATTTTTAAGCATTACCCTTGCCGGCCAAACGTCCCATTGCTTTTCTGGGGGAGTTGCATTTTTGATATGTTTTCGTATATTCCTCTTCGGCCAAAACGAAAATACTTCGTCGTTTTTGCTGAAGACCCAATTGTTGGGAATGCAGGATATTTCCCGATAATCGTCGTCCTTGGTGAATTCAACAACAGTCCACTGGAACGACAAATTAACGAGAGAGAACAAGCACTATTTTAGTGCTATAATGATTATTTCCATTTCTGATGAAACACCAATTGCTGTACGAATGATGTTTAAATATTATTAGTTGTAAGTAAATATCCCACAATCGTAGTTTTACTTCTGGGCTGATCTAAGTAGCAAATCAAATAAAAAGAAACGAAGACTAAAACGATAATTATAATGATAAGACTACTGTAAGTAGGAATTGTTAGCGTAAAAACTATTTCTTTCATCAGCATTATGAAATTTTAGCTGGTATTAAAAATGTAATTAATTTTATTTATGCCTTAAATAAACTTCGGCCAATATACTTTTTACAAATACTTAATAAATAACAGCAAAAGCATATATGGTTAACCGTAAAATCACAAAGACTTTACAACCTTAGTGATGCTGCTTAAAATTTTCTAAAATATTACAACAGTATGTTATAAATAGCTGCCCTAGTTTTTCGTGACACCAGTACAAATTTTAGTTCATAATTTTTTACTGCATACACACCAGTTTCGTCTTATACAAAATAAATTTATAATTAAAAGATAATTAGATTAACAAGTACGAACCTGATGAACGTGATTTATTGTTTCTCGTTATGCAATAGTGGTATAAAAACCAACGTTTCTTCATTGATGATATACTTCAGGCATTTTTGTTTAATATCGTCACACTGTATCTTACACAAATCTTGAGATAAATGGTTTTGTGTTGTTACTATATTAAAAAATTCTTGAGAATTGCAAGGTTCAGTGTACAATGATGATAGCGGATATAATTTTTTGCCATAAAGAAAAATGTTATTGTTGAAATTTTTAGCAATATACTTGACACAAAATATACTGTTATCACTTAAAAGGACAAAGTTATCTTTGTCATTTATTATAATTTGAAAATTTTTCAACTTTAATTTCTTAAAGCATGTAATATTTTCATTCAGTTGATTTTCTACTTCATATTCTAGTTGGGGATAACTGACACCAGTCTTCTCATTTAATTGTAGTCTTTCGGTCAGCCTGCAAACAATTTGTTGTAATGGTCGACGTGAAGTTTTGACCATTTTTTTAATATTGTATAAATAATTCTCATATTTGAAAGCGCTAAATTCATCCAAATTACCATGAAGCAAGCAGTCATTTGGCAAATGTATTAAATTGTGTACATTATAAGAAACAAATTCCTTCCCATATAATGCACCAAAATTTTTTACAAAATAACGTAATAAATCACAAGCTGAGTTGTTATATTTAAGATACAATTCAGGTGAACACAGAAAACGAATAGCCGTGTGTAACGACATGAAATGTAAAAATTTGTCTCGGGGTAAAACATCCTTTAATATTATTGGTCCTGTATACAGCAACAGTTGTCTAAATTCTGTTGCTTTAAAACGATCGACTTCGAGAAGACTTCTAGGAGTTCTTGCAAATTCTATAGGTATAACTTTTTTAAGCTTCAAGATGTTTTTAGATAAAATGGCCATTTTCGAGTCAGGAATTCTAACATCTTTTTTACCTTTCACCCAAAAAAGTACTAGCCGTTTCATCACACCTAAGCACACAAGATGCATGTAGTCCAAACATACGTTACTAACAAGCCCTACGTTTAAATTTTCAAGTGGACTATTATACAAATGAAAATCATCATCTTCTTTGTTTTTGAAGGAATCATCTGTGCGCAACGGAGAAACCAAACTCTGAAAAGTTACTCTGCCATTTATGTACTCGCCTTGATCAATACATTTCGTACAACCATGGTAGCCTGTGTGACCCTTGACACCTAAAATGAATGCCTTGGCAGGAGCATCGCAGATAATCTTAGAAATCCTAGGAAAAATTTTTGTTTTGCCAACCTCTAAACCATTTAGCTCTAAAAATTTGAATTCTTGGACAAATTCATTTAAGAACTGACTAACATCGCTTGGTTTTTTCATACCGTGATATATTCCACAAATAAATGGAGGCGATAATCTTGACTCTATTGATAATAATATGGGCCAAAATTGACTAGTAGAGCTTTTAGTCAGTGGCAACCCATCTATGTTTAAACTGAGTTTTAAAATATCGTTCTCTTTTACTGTCTGGACATCAGTTAAATTATTTAAAATTCCACGCGCAACCCCGAAGTGATAATAATGTCCTTCAAGTACATCAATAATATTACATGATCTGGGCGTTTGCAATAGAGTTCTAGCGTTTTTGGGTAAATTGTAACCACCTTGTCTTAAAATTTGCAGCAAATCATTAATAGCTTGTTGAGAGAGCAATGTTCGGTATTGAAGTATCCAATTACGAATATCATTCACGAAAGTATTATTCGGGCGTTCATGAGCTGGATTTTCATGAGTGTCAAGAAATGGCAATTCATTATTAAGAGTAAAGTCAGATGTGAAGCTATTTATTTCTTGTGTTGATTTCTGCGGCGGCGAAAATCGCCGACGTTCACAATACGTGTCATCAACGGATGAGGCAACAGCAATACTGTAACAATTTGCCGATGGAATATTTTTTGCGGGATCAAGATGATTACACAATTGCACGTTGAATTTATTTTGGTGTTTTACACTGCAAATTTGGCTACTTAATTTTAAATCAGTACTTGTACTCTTTGTGGATCCGTGGGTGTATGGCTTGCAAATATTGTTACGTACTAATCTTCGGAGATGCCGTTTACTGACCACAAGTTTATTTGTTCGATTAGAGAATAAGCTACTTACATGCCTTTCTTCAAGTAATTCTTTTTCCTCTTGCGACATGTTGTTCCGACATATATGTTGACGCTACAACTACGCAAATCACATATACATATGATGTACTAATAAAAATAGTACCTTTAATATACAGTAGGTTATTATACGTTAATACGATAAACTAATACCGATTCAAGAACCTTTATGGTACTTATTTTTTCACAAAACACGAACGTTTCGCGGGAATCCGTCGTTCTAGCACGATGCGCAATAACAAAATACTCCTCTGTCAAAATTGCAGTGCGCAAGCGCTCTGAAGAATGTTTTAAATGCGTCTCAAGAGGAACGTTTGAGAAACGTTTCAGCAAAAATGTGCCTGAAACGTTTCTATTTAGGTTGCACGTTTGTTTATGAAATGTTACACTGGAACGTTTCAAATTATACGCGTTTGGGATGTTTCGTAATGTTTCATAAATGTTTCGTGTTTACTGGGTGAGGACGTTTTCCTTATACCAAATTATCTAAAGAATAATCGGTCGAAGGTTATTTCGACACAACTCCTCTCGCGCTTAAAGTACCTACAAGAAAACAATTTCAGCTTTTTATAAAAACTATAAAATTTGAATATGCGAATTTTTTTTACTTCCCGAGCGTAAGCAACGGAAGTATTGTAATCGAGTCCGTCGGTCGACTCTCTACTTTTACGTTTTCTCGATCTTTCATGACCCCTAGAAGACGAAGAAATAGGTCTCCCATTTCCGTCTGTCTGTCCGTCTGTCCGTCTGTCCGTCTGTCCGTCTGTCCGTCTGTCCGTCTGTCCGTCCGTCTGTCCGTCTGTCCGTCTGTCCGTCCGTCTGTCCGTCTGTCCGTCTGTTGTCCCGGATTTTTATTAGACAGATAATCTCCGAAAGTACTCGACCGATTGTTGTGAAATTTTGTACTTATATTAAGAATATCATGTAGATGGTAAAACGCTAACCAAAATTTGTCTAATCATCCCCACCACTAATGCGATGACGTCACTTCAAAATTGTACATAGTAAATGGGTTTTCAATTGTATAAAATAACATAGTCCTACACATGTAGTTTACAACTCTGAATCGACATTTCACCCGAAACGTCCAGATTTTTGGAAAAAAAATCAAAATTATAAAACAATATTTTGAAATTTAATTTTTAATCTGCTAACCAGAATGCTTTGAAATGTTGCAGATGTTTTAAGGCTATAAAGAGCATCATAAATCTTTAGTCAAAAAATATTTACTTATCCCCTCCAAAAACTTGATGACGTCAGCTTAAAAGTTCGTGGAATAAATCATATCTAAAATGTACAAAATATGATGAGTCTGTACTTGTGATCTATCACTCCATTCATATTTTTTGGATTTGCATATACAGGGTGACTCAAAAAAATTAATGAATGCGTAAATATATTTTATTGATTTAATCAGGAACTACAAAACCGAATGCTCTGAAATCTTGCAGATGTTTTAAGGCTATAAAGAGCATCATAAATGTTTACTCAAAAAATATTTGCTTATCCCCTCCAAAAACTTGATGACGTCAGCTCAAAAGTTTGTGGAATAAATCATATCTAAAATGTACAAAATATGATGAGTCCGTACTTGTGATCTATCACTCCATTCATATTTTTTGGATTTGCATATACAGGGTGACTCAAAAAAATTAATGAATGCGTAAATATATTTTATTGATTTAATCAGGAACTACAAAACCGAATGCTCTGAAATCTTGCAGATGTTTTAAGGTCATAAAGAGCATAATAAATGTTTAGTCAAAATATATTTACTTATCCCCTCCAAAAACTTGATGACGTCAGCTTAAAAGTTCGTGGAATAAATCATATCTAAAATGTACAAAATATGATGAGTCTGTACTTGTGATCTATCACTCCATTCATATTTTTTGGATTTGCATATACAGGGTGACTCAAAAAAATTAATGAATGCGTAAATATATTTTATTGATTTAATCAGGAACTACAAAACCGAATGCTCTGAAATCTTGCAGATGTTTTAAGGCTATAAAGAGCATCATAAATGTTTACTCAAAAAATATTTGCTTATCCCCTCCAAAAACTTGATGACGTCAGCTCAAAAGTTTGTGGAATAAATCATATCTAAAATGTACAAAATATGATGAGTCCGTACTTGTGATCTATCACTCCATTCATATTTTTTGGATTTCTATATACAGGGTGACTCCAAAAAATTAATGAATGCGTGAATATATTTTATTGAGTTAATCAAGAACTACAAAACCGAATGCTTTCAAATCTTGCAGATATTTTAAGGTTATAAAGAGCATCATAAATCTTTAGTCAGAATATAGTTGGTTATCCCCTCCAAAAACTTGTTGACGTCAGCTCAAAAGTTTGCCGAATAAATCCTATCTAGAATATACAAAATATGATGAGTCTGTACTTGTAATTTATCATTCCATTCATATTTTTTGAATTTGCATATACCGGGTAACTCAAAAAAAAATATATGAAATCTACTGCGAAAAAAAACACAATAGGCATGCAGTCGTCACGTTTCCAACAGCGAGGGAAGTACTGGCTAAACTCTTTAGACCAATTTTTTTTTTGATGTGAACCCTTACAAGTTAATACAAGAGTTATTTATGCAACTAATGAGTAAACTGTAGTTATCCATGTGATTTACAAAGCCTTCATATTTTTCCATTATTATTGGTACGATACATCAATCAATGCACTTGATGTAATAAACAAAACTGAAGTGTGATTCATTAATGAATGCATAAAATTCTCTCCAGGAAACTTTACAAGATTAACGTATACTGCGTTATTTGCTCATAGGCGGAATGATCGTCGCGTCCAGACATATAAACAGTTTGTCCAAATGAAAACAAGCATCAGTGGTGGAACATTAAGGTAACATTTTAAAGGAAACTTGAATATCGTTGTCCAAAAAAAGGTGCATGTTGTAGCCTAAGCAAAGTATGATACATCACTGAATGTTGAACAAAAATGTGATTTAGGGTTACTTCTAATATTAATATTAATAATAATAATAATATTAACATATTTGTGTTTTTACATAAAAACAATAAATGCTTGCAGACGTCATTTCTTACAGATATTATATATAAAGTGACACATTATTTAATTACAATCACATCATTTTAAATTCATGATAAGAATAGTAACTTTTTGTGCGCAGAAACTTTTTGACAGTGTTTTTGAATTAACTAAAATAATTATGAGTTTTTACGTGGATTGGCAGTTTATTATAAAATTTTTGACCCCAGTATGTAGCACTAACTCTACTTCTGGCAATTCTATCAAAATCAGTGTGTAAGAAGTCATTACTTCTTAATAAAAAACTGTGCAACTCTACACGTGTTATATAGTCAGTTATAATATAACAAGTGATATGATTATTATAGTTGGATTCATATATCTTTTTACACACGTGACCAAAAGCTAACGTCCGAACTAGAGACCCTAGATATACTTTGGAAAAGAGTTGTGACACGAAACGTCAAAATTAATGGTAAATTTTATTTTACTATGCTGGCTACGGATGCCTTTTTTGTCATGTTTTGACAGTTTGTAATTGCCATTTAGTACATAGACGTGGAAGAGAATAGTCGTCGTCTGTTGTGTACGAAACTGTAGAAATACAGAAGCAAATGGTTTCTCATTGTTTAAAGGCCCCGAAAACAAGATATTACTTAACAAATGGAAAGAAGAGATGCAATATCCATCTTGAAAAATTGGCAAAAGGGCTTACATTTGCTAGGTTGTTGTCCGAAATTGTATTTTCCATCTAATCCTTGGTCAACAGGTTCACTTCAAAAAAGAGAATTTTATATTTCAAGTGAATGCAAAATATGTGAGAACGCAATTCCAACAATTCAAAATGTGGCTGAATTTACGTAAAATGACCGGTTCTTGGCAAAAAAAAATGTTATTGATGAAGTTCACCAGACTATTTTCGAAAAAGACAACTTCATCAAAAAACTGCAAATGAAAAAAGTTACAAGAAAAAATAACGCGGGGTGCTGAAAAAGAAATTAATGTTTTGAAAGCAAAAATTTCAAGTTTAGAAAACAATAGATTATTATTAAAACAAAAATTTGTCTGTGGAACATCAGGACATAACTATATCTTTTGAATATAAATTTTCCGTTACCTTCAAAGTGGAACCCTATGCCGTAAAATTCAGCACATACCGTTTTTACCAGGAATTTTACATGAAATTTTTACCTATTTAACAATCAAAATTCAAAATTTTAACGATTAGGAAAGAGATTATTGTTTATTTTTAGGCCAAGCAGCAATCAATCCAGGTAAAGAATACCGTCGACGTTCCTCATTACTTTTGGGAAACAACATTAACAAATTTAAATGAAGTCGCTACCTATGTTTTGTTTTTTATGTTAGGAGGTGTAAGCTTACGATGGAAGCAATTTTTTTCATTGTTATTTTAATTAAAAGATGTAACAAATTTTAACTTGTAAGTTTTATTTAATATAGAGGTACATGAATCTATATATTTCTACTGAGATTATTCTACATATCAGAGCAAATATTCATGATGGAAATGTGAGGACGTTGTAAAAACACTGTTTATCATAGAGTAGTAGATAGAGAACCTACTAAACATGCTTCAAATTTCTTACCACGGTGCCGTTCGTTAAATTACAAAATGTTGTTTTGACCAGAAGCAAAACGATTAGATACTGGCAATGTGATACACTCTCCAGATCTTAGCTGGGAACAACGATAGTACCTAAGTACAGAATGGTGTTTAAACTTAACTGCAAATTGTGATATAGGTAATCTTATAAAGTGTAAATTAGTATGATTAGGTATTCCGTATTTTTCTGTTTTACCAGCGATGCCAGTCGCAAATTGTAAGAAGTACTTAACCGCATAACACTTCTTCTTAAATATAAGGTACTGTCAGTGTCGGTACTGTTAACAAAATTTCAAAGAAACTATTTGGAGCACTACGCCACTGCTTGAAAATGTAACTTAACCTATAAATTTCTTTTGAAGTTTTTGAAACTAAATCACTAAATTAGATAAAGACGGCAATCACTATAGCTATTTCATAACTGACCGTCATGTAATAAAGATAGAGACAGAAAATGTCCGTGTCACAACTCTTTTCCAAAGTATATCTAGGGTCTCTAGTCCGAACTAATAACTGTTACTTTGTAGTAATTAGTCAAAAAGATGATAATGTTCATAACGTCAACATGACACAAATGTGTAAGCTCAGGCAGGTCTTTTGGTTTCGGTGCTTTCCGATTGGGTCGTGATTTTGCCGGACTGGGAAGGACGCCGAGTCTTTCTTTTCGAGTTTTAATCTTCGAAACCGTTTAGCGACTAACGCCTAGAGCATCTGCAACTCGCTAAAAA